CTGCGAAGGCCCTGGCCTAGATGTTCTAAAAAGAGTGAAGAAGATGCCGGTAAAGCCTAATGCTAAATCCTTTTTTTTTAAACTTCATTGTGGCGTTTTACCCGTAAAGCCATGGTTAGAAGAAAAGGGCATTTTCGTGCCATGGTCTACGTGTTGTCTTTTATGCAAGCAGCCAGAAACTGTAGAACATGTGTTTATTTCCTGCTGGGACGCTGTATTTTTGTGGGATATACTCCAGCGCACACTCAAAAAGGATTTCCCGATCACCGCCAGGGGTATCCGGTTTTTATCAATAGAGAATGTAAATGGCGTACCTTATGATATGATCCTACTACTGGGCCTTCACAGTTTATGGAAAACAAGAGTAGGCGTAAATCACGCTGATAAAACAGTCCGCTTGGCGCGTGAATATTTTATTGAAAGTGTTGCCGGCATGCGTGAAGTGTTCCGGGCACAGCCCGAACAGCCGGATTGGTTGCCCATTCTTGATGGTTTGGTTTCTCTAAAAGAATTTTAATGACACCACGGCAGCCAAGTTACGGCTGACGTGTTTTTAAACCCTCCTTTGTATATATGCTATTGTACAAAGATAAAAACAGGCAATAAAGAAAAAAAAAATCCTCGTTAGTATAGTGGTCAGTATCCCCGCCTGTCACGCGGGAGACCGGGGTTCGATTCCCCGACGGGGAGCATAATTTTTTTTTTTTTTACCCCCACATTTTTTTTTTTCCTTTATTGAAAAGTCCATGCTGCGCTAGAGTTCCCATCCAGCTATTGCCGTCTCTCCTCGTTAGTATAGTGTTCAGTATCCCCGCCTGTCACGCGGGAGACCGGGGTTCGATTCCCCGACGGGGAGCATAATTTTTTTTTTTTACCCCACATTTTTTTTTTCCTTTATTGAAAAGTCCAGGTTGCGGTAGAGTTTCCGTCCCGCTATTCCCGTCTCTCCTCGTTAGTATAGTGGTCAGTATCCCCGCCTGTCACGCGGGAGACCGGGGTTCGATTCCCCGACGGGGAGCATCATTTTTTTTTTTACCCCACATTTTTTTTTACTATATTGAAAAGTCCATGCTGCGGTAGAGTTCCCATCCCGCTATTCCCGTTTCTCCTCGTTAGTATAGTGGTCAGTATCCGATTCGACTTCCGGCTGCCGAGCGCGACGGACGTCTTATCATGAGCTCCGTCGGAGCGGCGATAACGGCTAGCACTAGCCGGGAATCAACTGTTCAGCCAGGAAACAACGCCCACCAGGAATACAGGATGCTTCTGCCCACGCTGCCAACAGGTCGGTCTTCTTTTAATGCTGTCATTTTGCACTGCGACCCGTCGGGGAGACCCTATAAAATCGCCGACTTCGCCGACGCACTGAAGTCAGCCATCAACCTCAAGGACATTGCCGGGTTTGGTGCTTACCAATATAATCACGTCTGGATACTCACTCTACACAACATGTTGGCGAAGGAAAAAATGGTGAAAGTGCGGCAACTCGTCATCAAGGGAAAAACGTGCGTCGTCATCGACCCCAACACCAGGGAGAAGACCTTCAAGGTACACTGGCTGCCTACGAACGTTCCGGATGAAGCAGTCGTGCAAGCGTTCACCAGTTACGGCAAAGTGAAGAAAGTCGCGAGGGACAAATGGCGCCGACCTGGTTTTGAAGAAATAGAGACAACGACCAGAACCGTAACGATCGAACTGAAGGAAGGCAACACGGTGGATTCCATCCCCCACCGAGTCACCGTCATGGGAGGCCCTGCGTTGGTGTCAATTCCAGGTCTGCCACCATTGTGTCTCCGATGCCGGAAGGTTGGACATTTGCGGAAACAATGCCGGACGCCATGGTGCAAAGTGTGCCGCACGTTCGGGCACGAGGAGGACGACTGCGTCCAGAGCTACGCGTCCAGAACGAGAATGGCAGTTCAAGAGGACGAGTTCGAGCACTACATGGATCAGGGCGACATGGACGAGACGGGCATCTCTGGCGGCCCCGAGAACTCGGGGACTCCGGGAGGTCAGGAGGCTTCAATCAACGCATCCTCTGTGGCCACGCACCCACCTTCCCAACAGCAACCGGAGCAGCAGCTGGAGCGACAGGCTCCACTCCAGGACGACCACGCCACACCTCACTCTGAACAAGCCGTCCTGCAAACGCAGCCGGAGCCCCAGGCTCCGGTACCGGTCGACGACAAGATGGAGCTCGGAGAGGCCTCGAGCAGCGAAACGACCATCAAGCGCAAGGTGAAGGAAACCGTGCGAAACAACGCAGCCGACCAACGCTACACCATCGTGAGTGGCAAGCGATGGAAAAAAACGGACACTGTTCCATCTTCCCTTAAGCCGGTCGAAGTCGGAGCGTCGTCTCTTGACAACGCATCTGCCCTGAACACCCCGTGATCCCAAACCAGGACTTCCCAGAAATACGTCAACCGGTAGGAAAAATTGTCCGATTTGTTTGCTAGCTCACACTCTAAAAGGCTTATTGTGCACCCCGGGCAGGCGGGATGGGCTATCCCACAACTTAATCATGACAGTCGTTGGTACGATTAATGTAGTAAGTCTCGTCGCTTCCATGCGGAAGCAATGGCTTTTAGATTTGTTGCTAGAAAAGCGGATCGATTTAGCCTGTGTCCAAGAAACTAAAATCGAAACAAGGGAGCAAGAAGAAAGCACGCGTGAATTTTTCAAGAGACATTATCAGGTTTTTGTTTCGCACTCGAGCGGAAAGAGCGGCGGATGCGCGGTGTTCGTTCGCAGGAAGCATTTCTTGAGAGTATGCCCTGATATAGGACATGACGATTGCGGCAGAATCAGCTATGTCGACTGCATTTTAGCGAACACTTTGATAAGGGTGATATGCTTGTACGCGCCAAACAACATGAGCGAGCGGAAAAGTTTTTTTGAGCTGATTAACTCGGTAGTTGATACGCCAGCGAAGGTCATTCTAGCTGGGGATTTCAATTGTGATGAAAGCTCCGAAGATCGCTTTCCTAGGCGGGCACAGGCAGATAATAGTGTGAAAGTTCTGCGTTCGGTTTTAAAGGAAAACAATCTAATAGATGTAATTGAACTTGCGCGTCCTAACAACACGCAACGCTACACCCAATGGCAGGGTGATTCCAGCGCGCGCTTGGACCGAATTTATATATCGGACGAATTCGAATTCAAAGACGCCCGCTACGATGTTTCACCTGTTCCTTTCTCAGACCACGGCTTAGTAACTTTTGAGTGGAGGGCTGGCACAAGCCATCTTTCAACTCCGCATACTAGCGGTCACTGGAAGCTAAACGAGAGCCTCCTGGAAGATGACGAGTTTTCAACCATCATAAAGGAAAAACTGCGGTTAGCAGCCGAAAACTCGGTTTTTGATGCTGTAAGCTGGGAGATTTTGAAAGCGGAAGTGAAAAGTGAAGCCATGTCATATGGGGAAAGAAAGGCCAGGGAAAAAAATTTAAAGAAAAAAGAACTGTTGCATAATTTAAAAACTCTCATTGCGGCAGACGACTCATCGCCTGGAAATTTTAGAGAAGACATAAAAGCCATAAAATGCGAGCTCTTGACTCTGATGAAAGAAAGGTACATGGGAGCTGTGGTGAGGAGCCGGGAAAAACTGGTCGAGCGAGATGAACAACCTTCAAAGCTTTTTCAGTTCTTTGAGAAGCAAAGAATCAAGTGCAACACTATCCGGCAGATAAGAGACGAAAACGGACAGAGCTTTTCCACACAGGAGGAAATTGAAGACTTGTTTTACGAGGAATATGTTCGAACGTTTCAAAAGAAAGACGCCTGCGATGGCCGTCTTGCGGAAAGCATGCTACAGCAGCTTCAAAAGGAAGTAAGCGAAGAAGTACGCGAACGTACTAACACTGAAATTGTAGAAAGCGAAATTCGGTGGGCAATCCGAAAAATGCCGTCAAACAAGTCACCCGGGCCCGATGGCATAGGTTCGGCCTTTTATAAGAAGTTTCTAGACCAGTTGGCACCTCTCCTACAGAAAGTGTTCAAAGACATATTCAAAAGAAAGCTCTTACCACCCACCATGCGCCAGTCCCTTTTGGTGCTCATTCCCAAGCCGCATTCCGGCAATGACATACCTTCAGTAAGCAATTTTAGGCCAATAAGTCTCTTGTGTACAGACTATAAAGTTTTGACGAGAATCTTAGCTCGAAGGCTGGAGAGAGGTATCGCGGAAGTGGTCGGAGATCACCAGACCTATGCGATCAAGTCGCGGTCAATCGCGCACAACCTCCACGCCATGCGAACAGTATGCGAAGCGGCAGAAGCGTTCAACACGCCCCTTGCGGTCCTTCAAATTGACCTGAGTCGTGCTTTCGACCGGGTGGACCATGAATTCTTGTTCAGAATCCTAAAACGCATCAACGTAGGCGACGTTCTTTCCGATTGGGTGCGCCTGTGCTACAACGACATATCCACCAAGATATTAGTAAATGGAAAAAAAACGGGAAAGATAAGTGTACAATCGTCTGTCAGGCAGGGGTGCCCGCTGTCCCCACTGCTATTTGCGCTGTACTTGGAGCCACTGTGCAAGGCTATCAAAACGGATGAAGGAATTCGAGGGCTTCAACTGCCAACTAAACAACTAAAAATCCTGGCATTCGCAGACGATGTTTCTATTATTTTTTCCGAAGAGAAGGAGCTTTTGAGGGCTTTGGACATAATTCGAGAGTTCTGTGCCGTATCGGGAGCTCGTCTTAACCTAGCCAAATCTACAGGTACGTGGCTGGGTAACTGGGTCTGCAAGCCTTCAAGTGTGTTAGGGATGAAGTGGTCGTCCTCCCTGGAAAAGTACCTTGGCGTGCCTCTCACGTTGACACCTCCTAGCCATGTAACGTGGTCGGTCAAACTCCAGAAGATGAGAGCGTCGCTGCTGCCATGGCGCACGAGACAAATCCATCTTATCCAGAGAAGCTTTGTGTGTAACACTGTTCCCTTTCCAAGTTTGATGTACGCGGCCCAGGCTATTCCAATCGACGCCAGCACGGTGTCCAAGGCCCATCGGCTCTTCGCAACATTTGTTTGGCAGTCGCCAATGGAGAAAACGAGGCGCACAAATCTCTTTCTTAGCCTTCAGGCTGGGGGATTCGCCTTGGTGCACGTGGCCCTCAAAGTTAAAATAAGTCGGTTCCTTTTGTTTAGAGACTCGAGTGATGCGATCACGCGGTGGTCATTCCAGAGCCTCGGGAGTGCGTACCTTAGTCAGTGGGTGGTTGGCACATCGGAGCAACCGAAAGCAGCTAAGTGCCTACGGTTCTACAAAGAAATTGCGGAAGCAATCAAATTCTTTGAATCAAGGTACTCGTGGGAGTATCTCCAGCAAGTTAAAAAGAAAAAACTCTATTGGGACACAGTCAGCAGCATGTTTCCAGCTCCTTTGTACAGAAATGGACTCGAATCATCAGCTGGAAAAGACGTCCTCAGGCGATTGCGCAGCCTCCCTGTTTCTCCCAAAACCAAAAACGTTTTCATTCGTTTTCACACAGAAACCCTGCCAGTGAAAACTTGGTTAGAAAACAAGGGCTTCTACCTTCCAATCGGAACAAACTGCAGTTTCTGTGGTGAGCGGGAAACGCTCCTTCATGTGTTTATGGATTGTAAGGGCGCCTTCTGTTTCTGGGCGGATTTTCGCTATATTTTTGAATGTAATTATGAGCCAAGCTGGGAATCGCTCAAGTTTTTGTACTTTGGTGAGGAACGGGGAGTCGAATTTGAGTCGTTGGTTGCGATGGCCCTTCACGCGCTTTGGTTGTGCCGGACATTATATGTGGAGGCAGCGCCTGTGCGGAAAACCGCGTGGCAGTTGTTTCGGGAGAGAGCAGAGTGGACACTGAGCGCAGTTAGCACAGTACCAGACGATGTCAACCACGCCTGGCTCCAGATAAAACAACAAATTAAAAAAAGCGTCGTTGCCCGCAACGCACAACCGCCCTGGAAAGAAAGATTATAGAAAGAGGGTGGGACCAAGTGTTCTGTTGTTTGTTTGTTTGTCTTTTTCTCTTTGTCGGCTCGAAATTTTTCGTGTATTATTTTAGTAGTGTGCATGCCTAGTAGTGTATGCAATCACTGACCTGGCCATGTGGCCGGTATGTACCAAATGTATACTTCTATAATAATAAAAAAAAAAAAAAAAAGTATCCCCGCCTGTCACGCGGGAGACGGGGTTCGATTCCACGACGGGGAGCATAATTTTTTTTTTTTTTTTTTTTACCCCCACATTTTTTTTTCCTTTATTGAAAAGTACAGGTTGCGGTAGAGTTCCCGTCCCGCTATTCCCGTCTCTCCTCGTTAGTATAGTGGTCAGTATCCCCGCCTGTCACGCGGGAGACCGGGGTTCGATTCCCCGACGGGGAGCATAATTTTTTTTTTTTTTACCCCCCCATTTTTTTTTTCCTTTATTGAAAAGTCCAGGTTGCGGTAGAGTTCCCGTCCCGCTATTCCCGTCTCTCCTCGTTAGTATGTCCTTTCTTGTTTCCTCTTGCGGCGTCGAGCCAACAAGACTCGTGGGATTTCAAAAGGAGGTTGTTGAATCAGTTCGCTTTTTGTCTGCACGTTTTTCTTTGGAGTACTTGTCTCTAGTGAGCAAGAAAGCGCTCGCGCGCGATTTGGTGGTCAGTTTGTTCCCGACACCAATGTATCGAACACTTTTCTGTAATGGCGGCCACGATGTGTTAAATCGAGTGAAGCGTATGTGCGTACCACATTCAGTGAAAACGTTTTTTTTTAAGCTACACACCAATACGTTGCCGGTCAAGGTGTGGCTAAGGGAAAAGGGTATTGATGTCCCGTGGACGGTCGATTGCCTTTTATGCAAGCAACCTGAAACTATTGAGCATGTTTTCATTTTTTGCATGGATGCGGTCTTTTTCTGGGATGTGCTTCAGCGCACGCTAAAGAAAGAGCTGCGAGTCACCCCATCAGGTATTCGTTTCTTGGACGTGACGAATGACGACTGTGTGCCTTTTGACATGTTTTTTCTTTTGGGCCTTTGTAGTATTTGGCGCTCGCGCATGGCAGTAAGGCATGCCGACCCCAATGTCAAAGAAGTACGCTTCTATTTTTTCTCACTAGTAAAGCAAGTTGAGAGTGTTTTTTCTACGCGCGAGCCTAAGCCCGGGTGGCTAGGTCTTTGTAAATCTCTTTTAGAAATGAGAGCCTTTTAACGTGCCCTGCAGAAGACTTGCAGCGCTTTTTTAAATTGAACTGACATGTGCTGTTCCAGTTGCAATAAAGAAAAAAAAAAAAAAAAAAAACTCCTCGTTAGTATAGTGGTCAGTATCCCCGCCTGTCACGCGGGAGACCGGGGTTCGATTCCCCGACGGGGAGCATAATTTTTTTTTTTTTTTACCCCCACATTTTTTTTTTCCTTTATTGAAAAGTCCAGGTTGCGGTAGAGTTCCCGTCCCGCTATTCCCGTCTCTCCTCGTTAGTATACATTCTGCTTCTGGCACTCGCCGAGAACGGTCGCAGGATGGCTGGCTCCAACGGAGCTGCGACAACGGCCCCAGTTGGCCGCGGTACTTTTGCTGCGTCATCGACTCATCGTCTACCGACGACTACAAGGTGGTGTTGCCTCCCATCCCAATGGGTGCAACGATTTTAAATTCAGTACTTTTGCACTGCGATTTGAGAGGCCGCCCCTATCGTATTGAAGATTTCCGTCAAGAACTGAAGCGGTGCGCCGTCCTGTCCGAGATTGTGGCGCTCGGTGCTTTCCAGATGAACCACGTCTGGTTAGCCACGCTGCGAACGCCGGAAGCCAAGAAGCGGCTCATCGACTCCAAGGAGTTGAAGGTGAAGGACCTGAGGTGTGTGGTCATCGACCCCAGCAGCACGGAAGTCCGTCTACGTCTCCATTGGGTCCCGTATCATGTGACGGACGACGCGGTGAGCAAGTCTTTGGAACCCTACGGCAAGGTTATAGAAGTCGCACGTGAGAAGTGGCGCGTCGAGGGATTCGAGGGCATCGAGTCGACTACCCGGGTGGCACGCATGACGCTGAAGAGCGGCGTCACGCCCGACGGAATGCCTCATCAGCTGCGGCTTCAGGGGGCGAACGTCCTTATCGTAATCCCAGGGAGGGCGCCGGTCTGCCTGCGCTGTAAGCGTGCCGGGCACATCAGGCGCGACTGCCGCGTGCCTAAGTGTTCGGTGTGCTCACGTTTTGGCCACGAGAAGGAAGAGTGCGTAAAGACCTACGCCCGAGTAACTGGTGGAGCGGCGGCGGAAGACCTTTCGCCCCTAACCATGGATGTCGCCGAGGCTGAGCGTTCCGCTCAGGGACAACAAGACGAAGCTTCACCGTCTGGTGAGCCCTGCAGCCATCCTGTTGGAGCGGACGGCTCGACTGAAGTCTCGCCTGTAAAGGACAAGAAGGAGGTGGCTGGAGGCTTTCCTGAACCAGGCAGCGCGGCACCCCCTCCCACGGCGACGCCAAGGGAGAAGACCGTAGCCCCGCGCGAGGCCTCCCCCCCGACTTTCGAGAAGGCGCCTTCCGAAGGTCACGACACTATGGACGAAACCACCGAGTCCATCAAGCGTGGTCTCGACGAGAACCCTCCGTCGACGCCGGGCATGACACCCAGGCCCAACCCTTGGATGGAGAGGACAAAGAAGGGGCGTTTCCAGCCCACGCCCACCTTAACCCCAGATGACCGGAGGCGACTCAACAGCAAGTAAGGCGGCTGACGCCTGGTTACAAAGACTGACGTCCGAATGCCAAGGCAAGTGCTACAGCAAGACACATGATTTGTACGTTCCAACCAGCAATAACGGTCGCATCGCTAAATGTTCGAGGTTTGAGCGCCAGGAAAAAACAATACCAATTACAGCGTTTGCTGCTTAAAGAGAAACCCGATTTCTTAGCGGTGCAAGAGACTAAAATGGCTGAGGAGGAACAGGTTGCTAGTGCGCTTAGGCCTTTTCTGCAGTCGTACGAAGTTTGTGTCACCCACGCGGTTGGTTTTTCTGCCGGATGTTTTCTTTTTCTTAAAAAGTCCCTGCCCTTGTCGGAGTTAGCTGTAACCACCGACACGGAAGGGCGGTTCATCATGTGTGATTTTTCCTTGGCGTCTTTGCAGTGGCGAATTGTTTGTGTGTATGCGCCTAGTACGGTTAAAGACCGTGTTTCCTTTTTTATTGGCTTACGCCGTTTTCTAGATTGTGATAAAACGATTGTGTTGTTGGGCGATTTTAACTGCGTTGTAAGGGCAGCAGACAGCCCTTACAAAAATCTCTAGTTAAATTCTTTTGAATTTTTGTTGAAAATTTTCTGGAGTCGTATTGAATTTCTTTTTAAACTTTTTTGACGTTTTTTAGACATTGTTTTGACAACTTATTTAACTCCTAGTTAAAATTGGCCACTTAAATTTTTTAGAATTCCTTCTTACATACATTCTTTTGAATTCCTTCTTACATACATTCTTTTGAATTCCTTCTTACATAAATTTTATTGAATTCCTTTTGACAAAACCGCAGATTAACGTTAAAAAAACAGTAAATTTTTAAATATATTTTTTAATTTCGTTACGATTTGATACATACACATCCCACAAATAAGCAATGTAAACAAACACAAACACCATCAAGCACTCAACACAAGAAACACAGTCCTGTTGACAGCACCAGAGCCTTATATAGCCTACATATCGAAGGGAATCATTTGGCCGGTGACCCCCTCAGCACTTACTAAGTTTCCAAGTCTCCGGTCTCCTTCTCGAAAGTCTGTCAAAGGAAAGACAGTGTTTCGAAGTTCGTAGGCTCTATCTCTTACTGAAAAGCATTGGTACAACTAATAATAATTTCGTGTAGTCGCTAAAACAACATCCACAAAAACAGCTCATAGAACAAATGTTATCGCTTCTCTGCATAGCACCACTCGGGAGGAAACCAGTCAAGGCGGTTGCTCCACTTTAAAATAGTTATTTTGCTCTTCTTTACTAGTTGAATAGGGTCAATAATGCAACGATAGTCATTTACAAAGTGAGAACGGCAGGGCGTGTTTTTCGAACGCCTTGCCTCCAACACACGCCCCATGCCTTCCGTCGTGCTTTGACTGCGCAGTCGAGCTCGAGGGGCGCGAGACGTCGAAGAGTTGTCAAGGATGTAAGGCTCGCGCTGGGGGCAGGAGAACGGAAGCTCCTCCCTGCGGTTCTCAACTTGTCAGAGACTATTGAGAAACTTAGTGACTTTTGACATTTAGTCAAGATGTATTATGTTCAATAAAAAGTCAACAGAAAGTCTGTAGCTTTTCTTTTGACACTGGCTACAGAAAGTCAACTGAATAATTTAAACACGAAGTAAATAGAACGTCTGCAGTATTTCGGATAACACTTTCAACAGAAAGTCAACAGAAAAAGATCCAACGTAGAGTTAATAGAAAGTCAATAGCTTTTCTTTTGACTCAGGCAGAAGAAAATCATAAAAAAAGTTTCAACACAAAATCAACAAACTTTGTGTTGACCATGTCAACAGGAGGTCAGTCAAAATAAAGTAATCAAAGCCAACAAGAAGTCAACACATTTTCAATAAAAAGTAAAAAAAAAAACATCCGTCATATCGGACCTTGCACACGACCGCAGACTGAATAAAAAAATTAAAAATGTCTCTTTTTTATAAACTATTATAAAGAAATAATATCAATAAGTTTTCAATTTATTTTTTAGAAAATAACCTACAAAAAACGTTGTTACAACTTTTTATTTTTTTTATAAATAAGTCTACAAAATAAAATCTATTGTTTTTCCTTTTGAATTTTTTTAGAAAATAATCTACAGAAAAACGTCTTTACAAGTTCTTTTTAAATTTTTTATAAATAAGTCTACAAAACAAAATCTATTGTTTTTCCTTTTGAATTTTTTTATAAAATATCTTATAGAAAAACGTCTTTACAAGGTCTTTTTAATTTTTTTATAAATAAGTCTGCAAAAAGTTCAATATTTTTTCTTTTGA